ACAGTAAAATCATTTACATACATATATATTCATTATTAAGTAGCGAGTACATTTCAATACAGTCCACTAATATTATAATAAATACTACATATACCTACTTTATACTGTTTGAAATGGTTGGTTTATTTCACAAGAATTCCGATAATCCTATCAACCAAAAATCAACAATTATTAAGCAACAGATTCCATATCTGCGAGAACAATCTCATAGTTTTATACAAAACACGATATTTTGTCCGCAAAATATAAATTTATACTTATGAAAAAATATTTAAAAATATCGTTGCGTAGTTTGATTAATATCGTTTAGTGACGAAAATGAAAAAGATATCAATTTTATAAATTCCGACAATATTGATCGAGAATTATTTCGGGCGCTCGGAGCTATTTTGTAGAAACGAAACAGATGTATCGCAGGTTTGAAAGAGGAAAGAGGACTATTTGGAACCCGTACTGATGGGACCAAAGTATACAGGCGAAACAACCAGCAGCATCCTGATCGAGACTGCAAAATCAACTTTCTCGCTCCAGAAAATATCACTTTCAAAGTTTCTACTTACAATAGTAACGTCGACTCAAATAATTCACTTATTTCATAATTTAAAACCGTTCAATACACGAGAGATATACGAGAGAATCAATCGAGTAAGTATCGAAGCGCAATATTTTTTTTAATTAATTCTTCGATTTCAGTTTGTACTCAAAACATCGTGCATGACAATACAAAGAATAGTAAGATATTTTTTTTTATTCAAGAGTTTTTCCTATAAATTTATATATTTTCTGTTAATGAGTAAGTAAAGCGATAGAATTCGAGGATACGAAAGCCTTTAAGGAAGGATGATAACGCTTAACATATCGCATCATCATATCGCCTGTCGCTATCCTTTTCTCTTTCCTTTCGTTTTCTCCTGCTGCTTATAGTTTACTTTCTAATTGCAGGTAATAGTACGTGTTGCACTGTTTTGATTCTCTCATTCAGATATCCAACAAGGCACTTGACCCATTGTGCTCAATATTGCTAACAGAACGCAAATCTCCAGACATTTTTCATTTATTTATTCACATAGCTACGCAATAGATAGGCAAAATAAATCAACCACGCAAAAAAATGTCGAAAAATAGTCGAATAAGTCAGAGAAATTTTTTCAATTTAGACAGTCGAGTGACCGAGAATTTTTTTAACTTATTGATTTCAATAAAGAGAAAATTTCTCTTTGAGTGGCACAAGTTTTCGTGCTCTTCTTATAAAATTCGATAAATTCGTATGAATATCTTCAAGCAATTTAATTTTGCTTTTTCTTACGTGACGTTTAAAATATTGTAAACAGACGCATAAAAGCGGTTCGCACTATCGGTTAGTTGACGTATTTACTTATACATATGCATGCATGTATAGATACTAGCTTCACATGCCTGTTTATCTTAAGTACTAAAACACTTTCGCGCGAGTGTACTTCTCCGTATTATTTATCAATCTAATTTCAGCAGTATAAACTCAAAATAATACTTATGACAAATTCGAGGCGCCAAGCTGGCACCTCATGAATATTTCTCTATTTCAAAATCATCAATAAAAAAAGTTTGCTTGTTTCCGAGATACTTTTCTACTCCGAAATAATCAATAAGGACAGTTTTCTTGCGCCGTGATACTTTCCTACTTTGAAATCATCAATAAAACACGCTTTCTTGCTGTGCGAGATATTTTCCTATTCCAAATTTATCAATAACAAGAGATTTCTTGCACCGCGATATTTTCCCACTTCAAAATTAAACTTCAATAAAAAAAGCTTTCCTACTCCGAGATATTTTTCTACTCTAAAATCAACAATAAACAAAGTTTTCTTGTTTCAAGATATTTTTTAAAATTATCAATAAGGACAGTCTTCTTGCTTCAAAATACTTTTTTATTCTAAAATCATCAATAAAGAAAACTTTCTTGCTCTAAGAAATTTTTTTATTCCAAAATCAACAATAAACGGAGTTTTCTTATTTCGAAATATTTTTTAAAATTATCAATAAGAACAGTTTTCTCGCTTCAAAATACTTTTTTATTCCAAAATCATCAATAAAAAAAACTTTCTTACTCCGAGAAACTTTTTTACTCTAAAAGCAACAATAAACAGATTTTTTTGCTCGAGATATTTTCCAAAATCAATAAGGACAGACTTCTTGCTCTAAAATATATATATTTCCCTATTCCAAAATTATCAATAAAGTAAGTTTCTTGCTTTGAGATATTTTTCTCCAAAATCAACAATAAACAAAGTTTTCTTGCTCCAAGATGTTTTCCAAAATCATCAATAAGAGCAGCCTTCTTGCTCTAAAATATCTCCCTATTTCAAAATCATCGGTAAAGAAAGTTTCTTGCTCTGAAATATTTCCCTGCACCAAAATCATAAATAGAAAGAACCGTTTTGCTCCGAGATACTTTTCTACTCCAAAATTAACAATAAATAGAGCTTTCTTACTCCGAAATATTTTTCCACTTCAAAATCATCAATAGTTTTCTTACTCCAAGATATTTTTCGATTCTAAAAATCATTACGAGTCTTCTTTTCTGCTTCAAAAAGTGTTGCTCCAAGATCACTGATGAGGAAGTCTCTTTCACACACGCAACAGCGAGAAAGCAAGATAAGGCGTAATATATTTAACTATTCAGCGATTATTGCAAACTCTCTTATCCCTATAAACAGCCTTTTTTTCCTGTTACTTATCTTACCGAACAATCGAAGAACTGTTGCCAACCGAGTGTCTATTCGCGCTTGCACCTGCCTGGATCCTGAACGTTTTCGCAAAGCGGCACAGCAAGAAACGTCTTCAGCCACTTTATATTGCAAATAACAGTATCTAGACAGTTAACATCATATCTTTAACAACACTTCTTTTTCTCTCTCTTTCTCTCTCCCTCTTTCACCTCTCTCCTTCTCCCACCTCTCAAAATCGCTCCTCTCTCTCGCACTTTCTCGTCGAGGCAGCGGCTACGTCATCAAGAACGTTGGGTTCTGACTTCGAATGAGTCTTTCTGGTCTAAATCCCTCGGAAATAAAACGAAGAAGTCAAGAAAACGGAGGGACTCACCGGTTCGCCGACGAGCGTCACATCTCCACACCGCTTAGGATATCGCTGACTGGCACCTTCTTCCTCGTCGTCGTGATCGTGATGATTGTCGTCGTGCTGGCGGTTTTTTCCACCTCCCTCCAACACTCCAGAGTAATCCAACTCAGGCTGGGATTATGATCTTTCTCTGGAGTGATATCACTGCGCCGCGGCGGACAAAGCCATTTTGAAGAGGGCATGCACGCACAAACGGCACAGCCTGCCTCTGATCGCGACGGTCAGGTCCTCTTGCCAGGACAGGAGGCGGCTGAATGAGAACACAGAACGGTTGAAGCGTTTGCTGCGATGGCGCCACAAGTCGACTGCTACTTCCGCCATTGCTGCCGCCTTCGCCATTATCGTTCCAGGTTGTAGCCGCTATCGTTGCTTCACCGATGCTTCTATCGCATTTGTTATTGCCGATTGTCTCAGTATTGGCTATGATGATTATTAATGGTAGAGTGATAAGTCTGACGAATCTTTATAAACCTTCCTCGGAACACTAAAATACCGACGCTGGCAAAACACGCTTTCAGGATTCAAAAAATTTTGAAATAATGACGATGGGGATTGGACGGTCAAGTGATTTGGTGAGAAGCTTCCTATAATCGGCAAGCAGCGCTACTTCGAAGGCGGCAACTTTGAAATTGCAGATAGTTCAGATTCTCGACAATCTACTTTATAATTGATACGCTGAAGATGAAATAGAACGTAGATTTTATAGTCGTGCGGAGCTATTCTTATTTCTGTAGATTCTTGTTATTAGCATCTTAAGATGTGCACACAAAAAACATATATATAGTATTTAAATATTAATTATTTTGATTCGAGTATTTCAAAAGTTCATATATTTGCAAGTCATGAATTATCATAAGCATCGAATTTATTCAAAATATATTCTAAATCCTAATAAGTTTAATACTTCAAAAGCAAATTTAATTTGCTTATATAAAAAGCCTCTTCTACGAATCTATTTCTTCTATTAATTTTCTAAATAATATTCTTCAAAAGAAAAAAAAATTTTTGTATATATAATAAGTATAAATTTTGAGTATATAATAAATTTTTCTCTCTTTCTTTAAAATTTATGTGTAATAAGTACATTTTGAGATTATCAAGAAATTATTTCTTCATAAGATAAAATAATCATGAGAAGTCGAAGGGATATGACCTCTAAATCTTAAAATAGAACAAAAATAGTTACAAAAAACTACACATTTACAAACTGTGCTTATTGAATAGTTACAAGAAATTAATTTTGAAAAAGAAGAAAGAATTGAAAATTTATAGAAAGATTTTCTGAGAATTCAGACACAGCTAGTATTATAATTTTTAATTTTTATAATTCGAAGAACGAGTTTACAATTTTAAGAAAAAGTAAGGTAAATTTATAAATACATGTGATTTTGTGATTTACCTGCTAGTAATTAATTAAAAATAATATATAGTAATATTCGATTGCCCTCCCGAATTCAAAAATTTTAATTGGCTCCTCTTTCCTAAACAAAATAGCTACGCGAAGATAACAGTTATTTAAAAGAGAAAAGTAAACTGAGTAATCATGTTTCTTATCAATAAAATGATAGCTTTCAAATTTTGTTCGAAGAACAATCTTGAAATGGTCTGATATCTTCAAGAAAAAAAAACAGCAGAAAGATACAGAAAGAATATTCTCATTTAAAATGGAGTTGAAAAATAATAGAAAATATTATGGAAATTATAGAAGTCTGAATATAATAGAAACATAATAAAATGAACTGAAACGAAACATGTAACGTAAAATATAATTAAATTAAAATAATTTGAAATTAAAGTAAATTAAAATTAAATTAAATTATAAATAAGATGTAAAATTCTCTATTCTAGTTGTATATAATTACATACCTCGTCGGACATCGGAATGCGATTTTCTTAAATAGATTTTATTCGAGAGCACTAAACAATTATTATCTACATTCTACAACAGGTATATCCTCCTTGTCTTCGTTGAGACGCTGCTTCATCCTTACTTTCCTCCTCGGCGAAAGAGGGTGGCATTTCAAGAAAAAAGAAAATCGCACGATATCTCTTATAAATAGCACAATAAATAATTTTCATTTTCCTTCCAATCCCATGTTTCTCTCTCGCTTCTCATCTCACATCGCACTCTCTCACTCGTTCGCTCATCAAAGCGAACAAATCCTTATTGGCACATTGTATAGTGTAGAGACTCTTAAGTATATAAATAAGTCGTAAGTCGATGCGTCGTTTAGATTATTAAATATATATATGTATATATATATATATATATATATACTGTATATGTGTATATGAATATTCAATATCTTTATGTTGTATATACGACTAGAACTCCTCGACATACGTATCACATACTAATATTGACTATCGTGTTTCAGGACGAGACTCGGAAGCGCTTCGCGTCCCGAGCCTTGGCGACGTTCTCGTCCTTCCGTTTGATTCGAAAATCAGAAATCCTTAAACATCGCAAAAAAATCCTTCCAATCTCCTCGAATCTTTTCATCTTCGCGATTCCTTTATCTTCGCAAATCCAGATAGACTTCTATTCTAAACTTTTAAGACTCTACTCTAAAGAAAAGACTTTTATTCTAAAGAAAAGAGAATTTTTCTTTAGAATAAAATCTACACTTTTTCATGAAGGAAGTACAAAGAACTATTAAGCGATTGGGATGCTGTCTCTTCGAGAATCGATTATCGGATGAACGAAAACGGCGCCATATCGTCTTATTGCTGCATCATTGACTGTAAGATTGTGACAGTATTAATCACTTAATCGCTAGTACTTTCGCAATACTTTTATCCAGACTTCATCTGGATTTCAAAGTGAGCTTACTTAATCCACTGGAGGGAATTGGTGCTACTTGAAAACACCGTACATTTTATTTTATTTTTTTTTTTCGCTGAGAAGTTGTTTTCTTAGAGTCTAAATATGTGTAATATGTATTGTATATATGCATATACAAGGTAATCCTTAAGTATTCTAAAAGATTTAAAGAATGATCCTTCACATTAATTCGAAATGAAACTTTATATATCCAAAACAGTTTAGTTTCAAAGATACAGGGTGTCAAAGTTAAAAGAAAATTTCATTTTTTCAAAAAATTTCAAAAATCACTCGGATCATTTTAATGAAATTTTACACAATTTTCTTAAATTAACCCGAATGGTTTTCGAATTTTTGTGGAAAAAATGAAATTTTTCCTTCAACTTTTACACTCTGTATCTTTAAAAATAAGCCTTTCAGACGCATAGTCATGAATTAATGTAAGAAATCACCCTTTAAAATCTTTCAATATACTTACAGACTACCCTGTATATATTATATAGTTCTTTTCAGCGTTTCTTTTTTAATGTCTCAATGTTAATTTTTTCTTTAAATGTGACATTTCTTTTGTCTATTACAGTTTATTTCAATCCTCTTGTTTGCACGAAAAAGATAAAATTGTACGATTCGTTTTTCCGCGTTTTGATTTTGTGGATAAATGATATACTTAATATTTAAAAGGCTAATCTATTCTTCTCCCTTTCTCTCTCTTTTTTCTCTCTCTCGAGGAATTAATTAGCACTTCAGTAATACTCTATTAATTAATACTTTCATATCCAAAGGCGTTTCCATTCTTGAAAGTACTTCTTATCTTCATCTTTAAAAATGCCTTCGTATTTCCATTATCTTCATCTCTAAAAATCCATCATTAATTATCTTACATTAATTACCGTCACTTTTTTGCTTCTACAAACTTTGAATCGTACATCTCGCTATTTGATTTTTTCGACGTTCTTATCGATTTAATTGCATAGTTCAAATTTTCGTGCGATCGATTCATGGAGAAAGTCTTTTACGGAAAAATAAAGAAGAAGTGGAGCCGCAGAAAAAAGGGACAAAAAAATTGACTCCTTAATTCGATTCTCCGCTGGCGACCGTGCCGTCAGTCGGAGGGCCAGTCACGATCTGAGGTTCGCTCGTGGGTAATCCCTGCATCTCCTGCACCCCTTGGAACAACTTGCCGGGGAATCCCTGTAGGAGGTCGTAAGAGACCGGCGTGGGTGGCAAGGCGGTGGTGTGCGCGTGTGGCGATTGCAGGACGGCGATTACTCTTCGGAGCTCCTCCAAGGCGTTTCCTGGACGAGCAACACGTTTTTTATTTCGGTCAATTTAAATTCGATTTAATTCAAAATCCAACAACGAAAGAAGACGCGAGGTTTTCGCATCAAAGGACCTTTATTCACCTTGCATAAGAATGTAATTTTTTGCCAGCAGCAGGGTGGCTATCTTGGACAGCTTCCTCACCGAAGGGCTGTGAGCATAAGGGATGACGGAGCGAAGCTCGTCCAGTGCGTCATTCAAGTCGTGCATTCTCCTGCGTTCTCGCGCGTTAATGTTCAGCCTCTTCGGAGGGCAGTTCAGTCGCGAAGCTGAAGGTCTAAAAAGGATCGTGGCACTGCTTATGTATGAATATTATTAATTACATTTAATTATAATAAAATTTTTTGTTCTTTAGAAACATATTTTATCAAATGTGTGTTATATTAATCGATATATACTTATTTTCACGGAAAAAATGATTTTGCTGAAGTATCTAACAAGTCAGATACTGAATATAATTTTGTTTGAATCATCAAAATAATTATGTATTATATGATGCTCAAGCTGATTGCTGGAATGTCAAAATCTTTTGTAACGTTGCCATACTTGAGTTTCTTATATATAATAATTATTTTAATGGTTCAAAAATTATTTTCAGATCTGAATCTATACCTAAATTTTTAGATACTTCAGAAAAATCGTTCTTTCAATATTTATATCTTTCTGAAGGAATTGATATCCTCTCTTTGATGGTTATTTATATCCTTTTATACATACAATTTCAAAGAATTCTGTTTTCTTCTTTCATACTTCCCTCTATTATCTTCTCATTCCAGTCTACTGGAAAGCGACTTTCCAAGTGGCTTTACTCTCGATTAAATTGAAACTGTAATTTAGATCAAAAACTTACCTCTCGTCCGGTCGATTTTCATCAGACAACGCGCTCGACGAGGCGTGGGGTTGCGGTTGCTGCTGAAAGTAAAAGCCACCGAGACCTACGGTACCCAGCGGAGTCCTCCGTCCTGGTGCACTTTGAGTATGCTCTGATGAATACGCTGCCGGTGGGCCTGACACACCCGGGTGCGAAGCCCCTGGTGTTGAATACACGGACTCGAGAGCTGCCGCGGATTGTGGAGGCAATGGATGCTAGAAAAAACAATTTTCCGTTAGAATTTTGAATGAGAAATGTATTAATAATTATGACATTATAATACAGTTGTTATTATATCTCTAGGATGTACATAATAATATTAATTAATGTATTTAAAGGAGCAAGAGAGTTTAATAATTAATTTAATTTTATCATTTTTAGGACTTTCTTGAAAAATAATTTAGTATTTGTACTCAAATATTTGTTTTCAATTTTCTGAAATTAAACTTCTATTTTATTCTAAAATTTATTTTTTATTCCAATTTAATGTACTATACTTTACCTTGTTGCAGTTTACTTATTTTATTATATTGCTGGTAAAAATATCATAATTCTGTTTCTTTAATTGCTCATTTCAACTATTTTTTAAAGGACTCCAATCTAATTATGTGGATTTTGATGAAATAAGTTAGTTTTCACATATAATGTAGCTTACACTGAAAAAAAATATCTTAATTTCAAAGAAATATTTCTTTGCTCGTATTCAAAAAAATTATTTCTTTGAATCAATGAAAATTTCTTTGAAAATAAAATATTGTACTTTCAAAGAAATAAATATTGTATTTTCAAAGCAATTTTCATTGATCTAAAGAAATAATTTTGTTTATTTGTTTGTTAATATGAGCAAAGAAATATTTCTTTGAAATTAAGATATTTTTTTTCAGTGTACAATATGATGACTAAATGATGTCATTGACACAAAGCTCAATAAATTGACAGTTCAAGCTATGATGTATACAAAATGTAAAACTTATTTTCACAGAATATCTTTTATCATCATATCAAAAATTATTCATTATTGAGCTTTCTGTCTATAATATCCTTTTTCACCACTTTGTCAGTTATATCGTTTGTGAAAATTAATTCATTTTACGAGAATTCAATTTCCATATAAAATTAGTATTGGACCTTTGCAATTATCTATTATTAATCGATTAATAATGGAAGGTAATCAATGGTATAAGTGTTTAACCAGGGACATGTTCTTCATGTTCTTACTTACGGCATTGCGATGCTCCCAGGCCCAGGTAGGATGTGACGCAGTGCGTTGCCAGGATCCTTGCTGTAGATGCGGCTCCGGCAGGCCCTCCCTGCGATCGTCGTCCTCCGTCGAGCTACTCTCGCCATCATAGGACCTCATCTCTTGCGAGGACACTTTCCCGATTTACTCGGCAAATCCCTCCTCACTCTTCTCGCCCTCAATCCCTACATTTGCAAATTTTAATTTTATACTTTTCCCTGTTATAAAAAAATCTTGTTCCAATTCATTTAATTAATAATAAATATGTATTTATATTTTAAAATTCTTCACATTTTCTTTAACTTAACGACTTTTAATACAATTTATGTTATCTCAGTTTCTGGGTGCTTAGTAAAATAAAATAAAATAAAATTAAGTTTCAACCTATTTTTTTATTTAATATTCCACATTTTGGAACATTTCGGCACTACTCTTTTCGCGAATAATTCATTTCATCTCGTTGAAACTCATTTTATTTAACGCAGTTCATTTAACTTTTAAGTATTTTACATCTTTTTAATAATTAATCAATAATAAATTCATTTTATTATTAGATTTCTTTCTCAAACTTTTTCGTTTCTTTAAAAAAGCTCCAAGATTGATTTTACTTCTCGATGAATTTTTCATTTTCTATCCTCAGGAAAGATCTCTATTTTTATTTCCACATTTTTCTGTTAACAAGCACCGTCGCCATTTATATAGAGAAGTAGCAGGCATCATCGTTCGTTCTAAACGCAATCAATAGCAAGCGGAACACTTACCGACGACGATTTTCTTTTTCCACCCCCCGCGCGTGCCCCGCGGGGTGCAGAATCCGGCGATCAGCAAAGTTTCTCGCGCACCAGCGCGTAACGTCGGATCATCCCTTCGTCCGAACGTTTCTGCGTTTTCTCAACGAACAGCTCAAACTTTTACGAATCCCGATCTTGGACGGACTGCCGTGGTCTCCTATTGTTCTACTGTTGTAATCATCCAACTCGGCCAATCACAGCCATTTTAATTTGCTGGGGGTTGTCTCGGTGGTCGATGAGAATGGAAAAAAAATTCCGTGAGTCCTTCGGGAAATTCTTTTTGTGGGAGATCTCTGTCTCGCGGAAGTGATGCTTGATAAATTCTTGAGTTTCTTGTCTCACGATGATGATTTCCGATAAAATCGTCCTTGACGAAATTATCGCCCCCGAACGTGACACGTCCCAGGCCTCAGGGGCACGCACGCGTCTCTCCCCGTTGTTTGGTGGATCCTGCGCAGAAGAGAGCAACCCCCAAATTAATTCGACGACTGTGTACCAGGGTGCGCCTGTTACGGCCGGGGGATGCTGCGCTGGACCATCGACTGGCGTACCCTGGCGGGTAGGACCAAAGATCATCCCCGAGAGCATGTTGTTACCATCGGAAAAGGGAAATTGTGCCCAAGAGAAGTCGCTAGTTGCCAGAAATATATTTCACGTAAGGTCGCATTTCATTTCTTTAAATCTTTAACAAGAGTTACTCACGAGAAATGTAAAAATTTCTTTCGCAAGTGATTTGAAATTAGAAATTAAAAAGTTGAAGAATGATAGTTTGAAAATTAAAATGGAAAATGGATTGCCCCAAATGAAATTTTTACCAAGGAAAAACTTTACTCCAAACTTGGCCCATAACTTTTTGGCAAAAGGGAGTTACTCTTAAAATCATTTCTCTATTAATTATTTCGGTAGTCTACCCACTTTTATTCGCGGAGCAGCAAATAACTAAATGAATATCTTACGGATAATAAAATATATATATTCTAGTAAATATATTTGATGTAATTTTGATAAACTCAGTAATATTTATTACATTATAAATACTGGCATATTTATTATTATTATTACATTTATTACATCATAAATACTGAGGTATTTATTATTATTATTACATTTTATACATCGACATTCTGCAGCATTACACATCATACTGCTATTTCATTTTTTCTTTCAATATTTTACACACATATTATATAATACAAAATTTGTTATAATTGATAAACAATATTTATTACATAACAGTAATAAATATTTCAATATTTATTACATTATAAATACTGAACTATTTATTGTTGTTACATTTTATATATCAGTATTCTGCAACATACTACTGTATTTCATCTTTTCTTTAAAAATTCTGTATATTTATTCTGTATATTTACTATTATATTTATTGTCACAATGAACACAATAGACTTTCTTCTAGACTCTCCGCTATCACAAAGAAATTCACGTCGTTCCCTCGATTTTACCGTAAATTTCTCTTCCTCGTCTTTCCCATTTCTTCGCCCGATCTACCGTGTGTCGAGTTTACAATTCGCCGACATACATCGTCGTTAAATACGATTAACGGACACGCGTTGGAACGCAGAAAAACACCGCGAGCATCATCGGGGATGCCGAGACAATTCGGCGACAGCCATCGCCCCCTCTGTGCGTGAATCACCCCTTTCCTACCCCCTTGAGAACGTCCATACCGTACGAACGTGAACGAACCGAGTAACCCCGGTTAGTTTTACTTTTGTGTTGGCTGTGTGCGTGCCGTGCATGTGGATACACGTGCGTGTGTTTGCGTGCATTTACCGTAAACACAACGCGACGTAATAATATTCCGAGCTGCCGGAGAACCGTAGCGCTGAGACGCCCGCAACTTCGACATCGCATAAATTAATCGAAGGGGTTAAACGGGGTTGTTTGCGCGCGTACTTTATTTCGCGGCCTGGAGAGGATAATTAATACCGGCGCGCGAGTATTTGGAAGTGACTAGCGGATGCTTTACGGGTGAAATATAAATTTCCGGAAATGAATTCCCACGTGCATTTAAGCTAAACCAGAGGCGTCTCTCGTTATGACGTATCGCAATTAGATTATTTCTATTGTTAGCCAATATTTTGTCATTTTAATTATGCAAATGTATTGAAGTGTATACGATGGATACGAAAAGTAATCATATTAAGGGAGATTTTTTGTAAAAAAAAGTATTATTTGTGGGAAATAAACATTAATTATTAATTCATTAATAATGAATAACGTTCTTTTTTAGTATATATAAAAGAACTTCAGGAAAATAATAGAGTTCATGATCTTAAAAGCTAAGTTTCTCGACTGTATGAATACTTTATTTTTGTGCGTCCAAATAATACAATTTTTGTTTATAAAGATAACGTAGCTTTATTACACATCTTTTTAGATAAAATAATTTTAAGAAATCTACAATCTATTTTATTCTTTGTTAAATTGCTAAAATGTTTACTTTCTAAAAATAAGATTTTCTAAAGAAAATCTCTCCTGTTCAAATTCTTTTTACACTCACTTTATTAAAATATATTAATAATATTAAGAATATTTCTAGACTTTAGATAGTAAATATCCGTGCAATAAATCTTTGATAAACTATTTCGGAAAGATATTTGAAATTAAATAAATTCTCGTGGTTATTATTTCTCGAAGAAATTATCTCTATGAATGTATTGTTATTCTAAAGGAAATATGTTTAAAAGTAACTCGATAATTGAGTCTTCCTCTTATATTTTTGGCTTGAATAAGTTTAATAAACGTTATAAATTAAAATGGACTTTTTTTGCAGGAATAAATAGAATAATGAAAAATATCGAAAAAGCACATACTCAAAGAAGCATATGGGCAATTGATTTAATAAGAATTTAAAAGTAATGAAATATCTTTATAATATTTAGATTTCTATTCTTTCGTAAAAGACTTGCGGCTGAAAGAGCTGAATTATTGAGAATACATCGATGTGCTCCGCTCGCGAGATACGCGCAAAATCTTTCTAGGTCGGGCGGCAACCATAGCGCCTGAAGATTTATCGTTTCCCTCGCACTGAGAAATATCCCGAGATCTCGAAAATAATTACGAGCGCGTCTGCTTTGCTGTACTGCGCAGAATTAATCATGCCTGCACATCCAGATCCATTAAGGAAGCATAAAGTAACTGCAATTAATTCAACAAACGTATTCTTATTTATTTTCATAATAAATTCTTTGCAGTATTTTAAGATACTTATTTACACCATTTTTTAAATTGACAATCCATGTTACGTCGTGATATTATTTCCAGCTTCAATTTATAATTGCGTTTTAAATTCAACGAATTGAATTAATATTGCAGATCTGTAACCTTTTCCATAATAATATTTCCTTTATAATGTATTATATACAATTTTATTTTACACACTCTCATGATTTTTAAACAACTCATAAATATCAATCGAATCATAGAAATCTCAAAAATTGTATAAACTCTATTTTATTATATTTAAGTACAGTATTCCGATTAAATTACAATTATCTTACTTTATTAATACATTAGAGTTGTAGATACCTATCTGTATAAATTTTTCAAGCAAAGCTCACCAAAATTATTATATGCTATTATTATCATTTCTCTGTCAAGAAGCAGAATCTATTAACATTATTTATTTATCAACTTTATATTTCCTTTACATAAATTCGAAGTAGCCTCAAAAATCTGATGCATATAAACGTGATCATTGTCATTTTTAATAATATTTATATCAGAAAGCAGGATCTGTCCTAGTTATCTTCCATTAATATTAAATCGCCTCGTACTTTGTTCATTCGTCCCATAAATCTCAAGCAGGTCGGAAAGACTTGCTCTAAAAGGATTAAACACGACCGTCGTCACCTCACCATAACGTTATCAGGAAGCAGACTCTGTCCCAATTATTTCCGAAAGGAAAGGAACGCGTCGATGAGCGACCGGAAGGAATATCGAAGAAGGTTCGAAGGGAGGAAAAAGGATCGCACATAAGCATCTATCAGACATATCTATCAAGCGAACAATACCGCTCGGTACGACGTACAGATCGCGAGACCGATGATAGACAAGGAAAGATAGACAGATAAATAGATAGATAAATAGATGGATAGATAAATAGATGATAGGCAGAGAGAAAGAGAGAGACAGAGGGAGGGAGAGAGACGGGGAGTGGTGGTTGGCGTTCGGGGGTGGTTTTCGGGCCGACGTGTGGCCGGACTCCTGAGGGATGAGGGACGACGAGGGTTGCCAAGGCAACCCTCCGTGCCAGCCAGCCTCGGCTTACTTTAGCCCGCTCGCTCTCGCGATCAATACAGCATCCCCCGGTGAGCTCCCGGACCAACGCACCCCCTCTGTACTCGCCCCGAACCCTTCCTCCGCGTCTCCTTCTCCTTATGTGCCTCTCCACGTGCGCATTACCGTCGACCGTCACAAACCAACCCCTCCCCCCTTCTCACCATCCCCCGCTTCGCCGCGCCCCCGTCATCTAGCGATTCCCTTCTACGTTTATCTTCGGGTGTGTTTTCCCCGTGCACTTGGAGACTCTTTTGCATTTGTTTATTTACGAATTATCGCTCGTTCGGCGTTTGACATAACGCTCGTGACGAGCCATTCGGCAATCCGGCTGTAAACAAAGGTATGGCTAACGAAGTTCAGCTAGTCGATATTGTGATTAAAAAAATATGATATTGGCAACGCAACGTTATTGAAAAACGCAACGTGAATACAATATAAACAAAATACGTTCTCGTTATATTCTCGTGTATCTAGAAACGAAATATAAAGAGTTACTAATGAAAAATAAATGAGATACTCTTTTCATTCGTGTTATCAATGCGTTCAGCAAAAAAAGCAGCTTTGCAGTTTTTAAATTCTTTAATACTACTCTCTTGCCTTTCCTCACTGAATCTAAATGCATGTGGAAAAGAAGATTTTACTGAAGCATTTAAAAAGCATTTTAGCTAGATACAGATCTGAAAATAATTTCATTGAACCATCCAAATAATTATATAAGACGCTTAAACTAAAATGTCAACATTTTTTTTTACATTGCTCGTTATATGTTTAAAACTATTACGGTATTATTTCTATTAATGATCCAACAAATTGTTTGGAGATCTTATCCAGTTAAGTGTTTAGATACTCCAACAGAATTGTTCTTTTCGTGAATATACACGGAAAAAAATACTAAATATTAATAAATATTTATTCGAATAGTTCCAAGTAAATATTTGTTGAATGTATAAATATATGTATATTTGTTTAATAGAAAAACCTTCAGCTATCATTTTTTTTTATCGAATAAATATTTATTTACTATACGTAAATGTTTACCTAATAATATTTAAAGAAATGTATATTAAGGTTTAATAAATTTTTTTGTCAGTGTATATATTTGTTAAAAATCAAAAATTGAGCTAAGTAAAT